CTACGGGATTTAAATACTCAAGAAAGTTTTCTTCTCTATTCAATTTACTATTTATATATTTTCTAAGTAGTGAGGGAGGGAAGGGATTTTCGATTTCTGAGTGATATTTTCGTTGAGAAAAATGAAATATCAGCAAGTTAACAAATGACGTTGCGGGTTTGGTTTTCGCTGAGAGCATTCACATTTTAAATTTGTCTTTGACCTCATTACTTCTTTTTGTATTGAACAAACATACTTTTCTCAATTGTTTTAATACATATGAGCTAGGATATTATCAAAATCTCAAAAATAATCCTTTCATCAGCTCGTTACTCTGTGTAAGTGGTTTTGATGTTTCAGGATGAGAAACCGGTGACTTTTTACAAATTTGGCCCAAAGAAGACGCAATCCATAGCAATTGATGTGTCGTTGAACAAGTTAAACAAATGCATCAAAGTGGCATACAAGTTAGTTTTTTCAGTTATCCGCTCAGGGATGATGATGATGGTAATAGCCGTTATCACAGGTTGGTGATGCCTGTCAGGCTAAATGTCCAGCAAATCAGTTTTTTAAAATCTTTGGTGAACTTAATTTTTGTCAAAGAATTTTTTACAGTCAATCGCATCTGCTTTCTTTCTCGGTTTTTCGTACATACCTGAGACCTTCGGATTTTCCCACATATTCTATTTTTTCTCTTGTCCGTCCCTTTTTGTCTGTTTAGGTTCTCATCCATTCGTTTGTCGTTATTTTTTCAACTGTTTCTTTATTTAATATACAGAAATATGATGATATTAATACTGATAATGGATGATTGATGATAGCTTACATAGTTGCATTAAATGCTTCAGTGTTGTGTGGAATCAGACAAATTTATTACAACTGATTGTAATGAACTGTCAAATTTGTCCTCTGTTTACGGTATCTCCCAACTTTACACAGATTTTCATCCCTGCTCACTTTATAATTTGATTTTTTTTTCCATCATTTTTACACTTTGTAGCTTTTCTTCGTCCATCTGCATGTTTTTTTTTTTTTTTGCACCTACTAAACTACAGGTTGA